AGGGTTGGACTGGGGCTGCAGGAGGCTTTCCCCTCTCTGCCAGTGCCCAGCTCCCCTACACCCTGCTGTGGGTGGGCAGGAGGGATTTGCTCCTGCCTCCTTCCCACCAGCAGCCCAGGGCAACGTCTACCACTGTAGCCATGACTGCCCCAGGTCCCCAGAGGCAAGCAGGTCCCTGAGCCCTCAGCTGCATGGTGCCCAGATGCTTTCCAGGGGTGCTCACCCCAGGCAGCAGTTCCTCACTCACTGCCCAGCCTGCAGTTATCTCCCTTGCTAAGCCAGGAGGGGAATAGTTTTCCCTAGAGCTCAGCTCAGCCTTTCAGCCCGAGAAAACCCATTAAACCCAAAAAATCAGACAACAAATGGAGGCTGTTTTGCATGATGGTGTTGACAGTCCATCAGAGGAATGCAAACCAATAATCACACCCATCAAAGGACCAGTCAGATGTGGTTACTCCCGCCACCATGGGCATCTCTGATGAGCTCTTCTACCACCTCCAGCAACGTCAGGGGCTCATTTGCACCCTGTGGACAGTGCCAGTTTTGATCCAGCAGCCTCATTATCAGTCTCCTTCCTGCCAGTGCCTGGCTTTCTGGAAGGAAAACAAAATGCCTCCAGCAGGGCTGCCTGCCCCAACCCTCTCCAGAGGGCTCAGTGACTGGGCACCACAGGCCACGCTGCCTCAGCACCACCACATCCTCAGGCTGGGCTGGGGTAGGGTGAGCAGCCCCTGCTGAGACAGCCAACAAGCAGGAGTGGGAGGAGCACGTCCTGGCTCTGGACCTCACAGGGCAGGATGTGTTATCTGCACCAGGGTGTACCCCAGCCAGTGGAGCTGTGCTGGGTTGGTCACCTCCCTTTGCTGCTGGCTGTTTGTGCCACCACTACCCATCCGTGCTGCAGGAATTAGCACTGCCAGGAATCCTGCTTGCATTGTTACACTGCCTTCTGCTTTACTCACCAGAGATTTGCCAAGTCCAGGTGTCCTTGGGGCAAAAAAATCAGTGCCACCCACTTTCTGGCTCCTCTTTTGCCTGGATATCCTGAGGCAGAATCATTAAGTTGGAAAAGACCTCTAAGGTCATCAAGTCCAACCATCAACCCAACGCTACCACAACCACTAAACCATGTCCTGAAGTACCATGTCTGATAGTAGGACATTTCCTGGGCTTGGGTTGTGAGAACCCATCTCTTCCTTTTACCCCCTTGGAAGGTGAAGAACAAAGGGGATAGGAAACACTTCCCCAGCCATGCACAAGGACACCACTACAGCTTGGCGTTTGGGGGCATTTATTCCCAGGGTTTGGACCTTATGCTTCCCACCACCCTGATCTCCACGACAGCTGCTTTCCCCATGGGCTGCCCCAAGATGTGGGCTGTGGAAAGCCACACATGTGTCTGTGACAGTAATTTAAAACTCATTTTTGAAGGAGAAGTTTCAAGGCAGAGGCAATTCCCATTAGACGGGTGCCCTGTGCTGAATCCTCCTGTTGGTTCACCTCTGCTCCTCGTGTGAGTAACAGACTCTGCTCCTCCATGCTCCTCTTCTCCAAGACATGCCCCTGCCCTGCCCTCAGGCTTTTCCCCCTTTCTTCCTTATCACTTACAGGTTCCAGCTGAATTTGGTGACAAGTTTCAGGCAACAAACAAAATGGTAGAAAGGTATAAAGAGTTTCCAGCTCACCTGGGAGGAACCTGAAGTGCTGGGGTCTAAACCCCCAGCCCTGAATGAAGGCTGATATATGGATGATGCCCACAACCACACAGGAGAGACCTTCCTCCTGGTTTTCTCTCAGGGCCTGGCCAACCCTAGGTGAAAGCCAATGAGAAGATCAGCAGCAGGTTCCCTGCCTGTGAAGTTAACACCAGGTACCCCACCTCTACGGGGAACAGTATAAAGGCTGGGTCTGCCCCCAGTGGGTGGCTGGGGGTTAATTGTATGATGGATGGGTTGTGTTTTCTGTTACTGGAAGGGCTCCCTGACTGACCGTGGCCATTAAAGTTTCCAGCAATGGTGGGACAGGCACTCAGGACCAGGACAGAATGAGGGTTATGGATGGAATGATGCTTTTCTTTGGCTAAAAATCCAGCAATGGGGGAAGGAACAAACCAAGCTTGGCTTACTCCTTTGTTCTATCATGAATGAACATGTGGATTTGTTTATCCCTCCTGTTGTTAGTAATGTCATGCCTTTCCTGTATTCTTTGGAGTGGGATGATAAAGTCTGGTCTGTATGTTTACTGCTAATGGCTTTGTCTTTTCTGCTGGGCCACGTAGTCAGCAGAAGATGCCCCTGACAGCAATGGATGGGACCAAAGCTAAAGCACAGAGCTCTGGAAGTGAAGAGAACCTTCAATATAGATAAAAGGCTGGACTGAATAACCCTCCAGTTAAGGAAAGATGAGCTCCACACCACCTGCTGGCAGTGATGGAGCCAGCCAGAAGCTCAGGCACACTGCAACACCTCCTCGCCCCCTCCAAATGCTATTGGCTGGTACAAAAGGTGGGTTTAAGTAAGTGAGGGGGTTGACAGGGGATTATTTGTGCTGTCACAGGATGGATCAATGGGATGAGGTTCAACAGGGCCAATTGCTGGCTCCTGCACTTGGGTCACAAGAAGCCCCTCCAAGTGTGGTGAGGAGCAGCTGAGGGAGCTGGGGGTGCTGAGCCTGGAGCAAAGGAGGCTCAGGGGAGACCTTCTGGCTCTGCACAGCTCCTGACAGGAGGCTGGAGTGAAGTGAAGGTCAGTCTCTTCTCCCAAGCAACAAGCAACAGGACGAGAGGAAATGGCCTCAAATTGTGCCAGGGGATTTTTAGGTTGGATGTTAGAAAAAGTTTCTTCACCAAAAGGGTTATTAAGCATTGCCCCAGGCTGCCCAGGGCAGTGGTGGAGTCCCCATCCCTGGAGGGACTTAGAAGATGTGTAGATGTGGTGCTGAGGGACATGGTTTACTGGTCGACTTGGCAGTGCTGGGTTAACAGTTGGACTCAATGATCTTAAAGTTCTTTTTCAACTTAAATTATCCTATGACCTTTTTGCAGCCTGCCTTCCTCCCCCAGCCCCAAACCCACAGCTGCTGCTCTTGCCCCTCTTGATGTTACAAAGCAAGGAGACTGCATCATCTTTGAGTTCAAGGAGGAGCATTTCTTCACCCAGAGGTGAAGTTCTTGGAGCAATGTCAACCTTGGGGACATCTGTCCCTTTGCAATCCCTTTCCCTAAATGACTGTATGACAGGACATGGTGCCATCCTGTCCCATATGGCTTGGAAAGAAAGCTGGTCAGGAGAGGGACCTTGCTGGTATGAGGAGCAGGAGGACCCTGGGAGGACTTCAGCATCATGGCCAGGTGGAACATCCAGATACTGCACAGCAGGCACCAGCTTTAACATCCATGTGGGTTTCCCACTGCTCCACCACAGCCACCACTGCACTTAATTCATGGTTTGCCCAAGCTGCTGAACAGGAATGACCTGTTCTCAGCAGGGGAGGGGAAGGGGGAAAAGGAGTCATAGACATTGAGCATTGAGAAACTCAGGAGGGAAGCAGGGTGCTGATTTTATATTTTTATTGGAGAAGAAGAAGGAAAAAAAATACAGACTAAACTACTCCTCTACCTCATGCCCCAGGTGACCTGTTGGAAAGCAAAGTCCTGAGTGATGTTGGTGCTTTGTGTCTGAAAACATGCACTGCCTGCGTTGCTCTGGGAGTGAACAATTTCTTCTGGGAGATACCACTCCTAGCCAGTGGCATTTTGCAGCTCAAATTCTCCCCATTTCCACCAAGGGGCAGTTGACTTGTTCCTTCGTGGATCTGCTGGCCACAACTGCTGGCCACTCAGCTCTGCCATGGTCCTCATTTTCCTGCACAAGCCTTCTCCTTGCACTCCTGTCCCAAGAGAAAAGCCCAAAGAGGCCTCGGTGACTCCAAGCCTACACAGGATCACTCCAGGAATGCAGTGGGGTGAGCTGATGCTAAATGAACCCCAGCTCTGAGGTTGTTTGGGACTCTCCCTCACACTCTTGGTGGTTGCTGGTTTCTGTGTGTTTCACAGTTGCTCTGACCACCTCCCCCAACCCTACTCCTGCCACAAACCCCACCCTGCATATCAATCTTGTTGCATCAACAGCCCTACATATTTTCCAACCACTCCACCTTGGACAAGGATGTCTCCCTGCAGCTCCCAGAACACCTGGGTGCCCCCAGAGCCCCCTCACATGCCTGGGGAGCAGCTGGAGGAGTGCAGACCTTGCCCTTATGCCCCAATCCTTCTCCCCACACTGGACACAGAAGATTCAGCTAGACAAGGTGCTGGGCCATCTTATCCAGACTGTGCTCTTCCCAGCAGTAATTGGACCAGATGATCCTTGAGGTTGCTTCCAAGCTGGTGTTCTTTGATTCTACAACCCTGCTGCACATTGGCACAAATCCTGCAGCTGCTCCAAAACTGCAGAATAGGACTCTTTTGGGCTGACATTTTCAGGGAGGGTTGTGCTAAAGTTGCAATTCTTTTCAGCCAGTGCCATCAGTCTTCAGGGTTAAGGCAGAGGGTGCTCCTTGGTCAGCCCCTGTCCCCAGGCTGCTTCTCCTGTGCAGGATGGGAGACACCTCGACTTTTCTGCTACTCCAAGGGTTAAATTTCCTTCCCAAAACTAGAGACTTAGCAAAAGAGCTGCTTGTACAAATACCTCCAGAATGGCCAATGGCCAGCTGAGGTGGTGGCCCTGAAAGGGGTGGGTAGGTAAAAGACAAAGCTTCCCTGGGGCTCAGTGCTGGCTCCCCAAGCCCCTTTCTCCTCTGTCAGCAGCAGCCACCTCTTGTCCCTGCAGGGGAGTCAATGTTTAACCCAGCCAGGGAGGACACGTGGGCAGGTTGGTGGAGCCAGCCCCGGCCTTGGCAGGAGCAGGGAACGCCCCGGGCCCCACGGTCGCTCCCCAGGAGCCCATGTCCAGGTGCCCCAGGGGGTTCCCCTTCTCCTGTCAAAGCCACCACTCTGCAAAATGGGCCTGAGCTCTTCCAGGGCACAGCCCAGGGTGACCAAGGTGGCACCGCTGGACACACGCCCGCCTCCTGTCGTGCCAGGAGAGCCCAGGGCGCCCTGGGGAGACCCCCCCTCTGCCCAGCAGCTCCCACCGCTCCGCCAGACCTGGTATGGGAGAGCCTCTGCAGGTAAGGGGGCACCCCCCGGGGCTGGAGCCAGGGCAGGAGCTCCTGGGGCATCTGCTGGGGCTGGCAGGGGCTCTCAGCCCCGCGGGGGGGCAGCCGTTGTCTGCGGGGGGGGCCCCCAGCCGCTCTGCCCTTTTGCCATTCCCAGCATGCCTGAGCTTTGGGAAAACAGATTTCCAATCTGCTCCAACCTCTTCTGGAACGTGTCTGTCAGCAGCTTCCAGGGTCCCCTCCCACCGGCCGGAGTGCCCTGGGGGCAGTCACTGCCCAGCACCAGGAACTGACACCAGCTGCCCCCGAGCAAGGGCTCCTGCAGCAGCCCCAGAACCCCTCCTCATAAACCCAGTCTGCTGCCCTGCCACCACTGGCTGTATCCCAGCATGGTGGGGCTGGAAGGGACCTCTCTGAGTCTTCTCTTCCCCAGGCTGAACAGCCCCAGGGCTCTCGGCCTTTCCTCAGCACAGAGATGCTCCAGCCCCCTCAGCCTC